TAACAGATCGTATTTTCTCTTTGCTTCTAGACAGATGTGCAGCCCTCTGCAATGATGACGCTGGCCATTATGAGGCATTCTCATGCCCTAGCTCTACCCCCGACTCCACTTTGTTTACTTGCACTTGCTTTCCCTCAACTCTGATTTAACTACTTTTTATTCTCTACTATTGTGTATCTTTTATAAGCTGCTTCAAGTCCTTTTGTACACAGTGGATTCTGCACCACCAGATCCTGTAAAAATACAATGTGGCCTCAGACAGACCTAGGTTTGAATCCTGATCCTGTCAGTTATGTGACCTTGGGCAAGTCGCTTAATATTTCTAAGCTTTATTTCCTCCTTTTAAGTTGAGGATAATGGCATTTACATTACATAGTGGCTGTGGGAACTAAAGGTAATTTACATAAAGACTTGGTACTTTGTAACTATTAAATAAATAGTATCCTTTATTCTTATTAATGACTGGGCAGATAGTTGCCAAAGAATACCTAAAGGCAATGTGTGGAAGACAGGGTCACAGACCCACGGGAAGTGTCACGTGACAATAGAGGCAGAGATTGGAGTGACACATCCACAAGCCAACGAACACCAAGGACTGCCAGCCGTCACCGGGGGCTAGAAGAGGTGAGGAAAGGTTCTTCCTTAGCAGGTTTGGAGGAAACATATTCCTAATGACTCTGGTTACAGCCTTCTGAGAGAATAAATTTCTGTTGTTTTAAGCCACCCAGTTTGTGGAAACTTTCACAGCAGTTCTAGGAAATTAATACCTCCCGCCGCAACTCCTTTTCTTAGACACCACCCCAAACTCGGGCATTGCTCAAATATTAAAAAAAACCAAAGCCTAAAACTTGGAGCATGTGAGTCTTCTGTCAGTCTAAAAGAAGCTCACTTAAATTTTTCCATAATAATGCCTTTTTTGTTCTTTATGAATGTCAAGAAACCTTATGACCACATACAAGATGATAGTGATTAAAAGAAGACACTGTCCTCATCTATGCAATAGAGGCAACTCCTTTTAAAATATTTATCCTAGACAAGTGGACATCCCTGTCCATCACCCACTCCACTCCTGTCATTTCTTTCTAGACTACAGGCACTCTCTGATGTGGTCTGGGAAGAAACCCACATCTACTCCGGGGTAAAGTGGAGGATTATTCTCGAAGGTGTTATCTTTCATTGCCAACGTCTGAAATATTATGCGGTCAGAAATGAAATCCCCATTGGGGTTCAAATGGACCAAGAGAAACCATAGTGTGACAAACACATGAATGGAAGCTGTTCTGGGAATCCCAAAACTAAGGATAGGTTTTACTGATGGTGTGTACTCATATAATTGAATCCTTACTCCACCATGTTAAATTCCCTTTTATCAGGGATCATTCTCTGAGAGCTCAAAAGACTCCTGTGTGGGAAGTTACTATAGGTATGACCCGAAGCTGGGCTAAAGACAGAACCAAGAGTAAGTTTGCCCCAAGAGTCTCTCTTTGAGTGGTATGCTACAGTAACAGCTCATCGGAGCATTTAAAACAGGAAGTGGCACTATTGGGGGTGGAAGTGGGAGGGATGATCTGATCACGTCTCAGCAGGTGAGCCTCACAGGTTAATACCCAAACTTGAAAAACATAAGAAATCGCATGCAGTCTTTTATTCAACAAGCAGTTAGTCTCTTACAGAAGGGATGCCATGAAAACAAAACTAAGGCACAAGTCTTGCCTGTAGGGAAAGATACATGAGTCAACTACACAATGTTCTCGACCTAACCAGCCCCAGGGAATCCCAGAGAACAGCGACGGGAGGAAGAGAGGACACTGAACGGATGCTGGTGCTTCCATTTGCCATTCTGTGGACTCAACTGTCCTCAACCCCTGACTTTGTCCTACCCGGACCTCTACACCTCAACTAAACCCCAAAATAACTTCCCTGTTATTGACACATGACTTCCTTGGAGTGAAGCATCCACAAGCCAAGGAACACCAAGGACTGTCAGCCAGCACCAGGAGCTAGTCATCCAACAAAGAATTATTGAGTACCCACTGTGTGCCGGGTGCCAAGATAGGATCCAGGTCTGGTGACCCATTTGTCCTGGGCCTCATATTCACAAAGGGTTTATAATGTAGATTATTTATATTCTTAGCATATAGACAGTCACAGGGATACACTTACAGGATTAAACCTCAACGCATACTACACTTTTTATAATCCTTTTTTAGCAATTAAATATATATGCAAGTTGCCCAACTCCCAAGCCACACATCATCCATGAAAGTGACCCAGGTCTCCCCTGATCTCTTAGGGGTCTGGCGGGCACTCAGAAGGTGCAGCCAACAAGCCAGTTGTTGCACTTGCACTCACAAAGCTTAGTGTTTAGTATGGAGACAGATATCAAGTAAGGACACCTAGTTAAACTGATACCTGTAGCTACTGCCTGGGAGGACAGGGCATGAGCGGAGGCTGAGTTGACAATCCTGGCTTTCATGTATCTGAAATGCTTGAATTTTTACAATAAGAACCTATCCAGGTGTTACTTGTGCAGTCATTATACATGTCTACATCCAGTACATCACTGAGAGAGAGACAAGAAGGGGGCCACAGGAGAGGCTAATCCCAAGGCAGGAAACAGGAGGAATGAGAGAAAGCCTAGTTGATGGAGCTCCAGGGTGGGTCTCCAGGGTGGGTCTGGCGCTAACAGAGCTGCACACAACTCTGTGGTGGCTGTTGTCCCCACGTCCTGTGGGAAGCACGGCCAGACACGGACACAGGCATCCCATCTCTGAGCTCTCTGCTGGGCCCAATCACCTACTGACCCCAAATGAAATGACTTACGCTCCAGTTCTGAGTAACATGGATGATCAACGTGTTACTCCAACATGTTACTCTCAAGTGCTGGATTGAAACTTGCCTTTCCACGAAAAGCAATGAATCTTACCCGCAGATGCCAAATGCCCCTGAGCTGAATCAGTTATCTCGTCTAGACTGAAGTGGCTCATTGACATTTTGTCAAACAAATTGTGTCCTGCCCATTACTATTCACCGTGTGATCCACATGCACTTCCCACAGTTCCATCAACAACAGGGCAAGCCTGCCGACCAGCTTCCCCTCTGAGGAAAGCTTGACCAATGTAAATAATCTCAGGACATCACTAGAGAAATGAGAACAGAGATCAGGGAAACAGTAGCCACGACCACACACAGCCCACTAGTAACAGGCTGGGCAGTTGTGACACATTTTGGCAAGAATGTTTCCTTACACTGTGTTTCTTTTCAATTTTATGATTATATTTTGAGATATATTCAGAGGGGATGGCTTTTATGGAACAGAGGTATGACTAAAGACTGATCATCCAATAGTGCTTCTGATCAGAGTCACTGTGTGAGTGTGTGTGTGTGTGTGTGTGTATGTACTATTTTGTGTTAACATGGCAAGTTCCCCCTTTGGAGTGCACATGGTTAGGGATATGTACACAGTAAAGCCAATGCAGAGAAACACAATTGAATGCACCTGTGCACCAGGTGATGGCTAGCAGAGGACGAGCTTCCTGCAGAGAACTTCATGTCTGACTTGTGCTTTATGAGGTCAGTGAGAGCTTGCATGGTGGAGAGGGTTGCCAGGTAAAATAGGGAAAACCCAGTCAAGTTTCAATTTGGAATAAACATTGAATGATTTTATAGGTACATCCCAAATATTGCCCAGGTGTTCTGTGTTTTTATTTGCTAAATCAGGCAATACTAACGGTGGGAAAGATATGCATGTCAACCATCTTTTCTTCTTTGTCAATGAATATTGTCAACATCAGCATCAGTGAATATTTATAGGACTTGGGGAATGAGGTCCTTGCTCCAGGGAGGGCCTATCAATGACTCCTGCTCCCTGAAAGACTCGAGCATGCCTGCTTCTCCATCACAGACAGACCCCTGGAGGTCCTGGACTGTACCTTACCCCTTCTTCTTCAGGACCTTGCCCAGTGACCGGCATGTGCTAGGTGCTGAAACTACAGTTTGCAATAAATGAGGATATGATGTGGAATGTCTATAAAAGCAGAAAAATTTGGGTGAAGAAAATAAAATGACAACACTGTACATGGAAGAAAATACAGGGAACTTAAAGATGGTTAACAACAGCCATGAGTTAGAAGTTGTTACGTGAGGTATACAAGAAGGTGTTGCCCTCAGATGTGCTTTGCACCTTATAGAGGCTGTATATGTACTTACAAATATATGTGTGTATTTATATAAACATATGTGGTTTTTTAATGAAAAGTTTCAAGAATAGTACATTGAATTCCTGTGTATTCTATGTTCAACTGAATTGGAACTGAGTCTTATTAGATGGAAGCCCTGGCTCGGTTTTAAGTAAAGGAAAGAATAGTCAGAGAATATCAACATTTTCTACCCCAGCCAGTTGCTCAGTGGTTAGAGCGCCGGGGCACATGCGGGAGGCAACTGGCAACCAATCGATGTGTCTCTCTCACACTGATGTTTCTCTCTTCCTCTCTGTCTCTCCAACCTCCCTTCCACTCTCTCTAAAAATCAATTGGGAGAAAAATATCCTCAGGTGAGGATTAACAACAACAACAACAAAAGAATATCAACATTTTCTAAAGGCAACAGAAAACCCAGCCAGGTTAGTCCTTTATTTGATAAATGCTACGATCAATTGACCAACTGTGTTTTTTTTTTTTTTTATCTTTTGTGAGGCCTGGAAAAATCAGATAAAAAGAGAAAATATCCAAATCTAGAAGCTTAATTTAACAAGATTAGCCTTACAATCAAATAATCATAGTGACTTGGTCAATGTCTATGATTAAATTCTTGGAGGATCCCTTTTTCTTATGTCATACTGGTGGGTGAGTGTATAGAGACACAGCCTACAGTTCTTTCTCAAATACTCTGCACCAGTCTTGTTACTATGATCTATAGTACTGAGATGGATCATCTGGGCTTCTAGGAATTTCCAAAGTCAATGTAGTCACCCAAAGTGAAAAAAAAAAAAAAAAAAAGCCTCAGAGGTAAAGGAAAGGGGCCGAAACCCTGAGAACCATACAATGACAAATGAGAAAACTCCTCCCCACTGAAGATATTCAGGTGTATAAAAGGCACACAACGGCATACGTAAGACCTAGCACAGAGTCGTTAATCTGGAGTATTGTGAATCCTTTGGCTTAGAAGAAAAATGAACACCCAGCCTGACATGATTCGAAAGTGTGTGTGGCCGGTGTGCCTCATGGGCCTGTTCATCACTGGCACACTCTCTCTGGGCTGTGACTTGCTACATATTCATCTTCGTAGAATCACCTGGCAAAATGTGGAGCTTCTGACCAATATGAGCAAATCACTTCCTCTGGAGTGCCTACGAGAAAACAAAGCTTTTGAGTTGCCCCGAGAGGTCCTAGCATATAGCCAGCCTCTTTTGCACAGAGACATCAAGGGGACCTTCTATGAAATGTACATGCTGGCCTTCAGCATCTTCACTCAATCTACCTTCCAGTCCACTGGGGAAGAGAAACACCTGGGACAAATCCAAACCGGACTTGATCGGCAACTGCAGTACCTGGAACAATGCTTGAAAGAAGAGAAGGGAAATGAAGACAAGGAAGAGATGGAGGAGGATGAGAGGAGACACCCGGGAGCTAGGACCCCCCAGCCCAGCAACTTAGAACTGAGGAGGTATTTCCACAGGATAAGCAGTTTCCTGCAAGACAAGCAGTATAGCCACTGTGCCTGGAAGATCGTCCAAGTGGAAATCAGAAGGTGTTTCTACTACTTTCAGACACTCATAGAACTACTCAGAAGGAAATAAGGTAGATTTTTTAAAAACTAACATTTCATTTCTCTCCAAAATCTCCTCCTCCTTTATTTTCTTTTAAGAACTGCTGGGCTATTCTTTAAGCCTGCTCTCGGCTGGATTGGTGGTAGCGTATGTAATGTTTACTGTCTCTAAAGTTTGGCCTTGCAACATCAGCCACATTAACCTAAGAGAGGTAAGGCCACCGTCCTCGGGTGACCAAGAGTCTTGTTACAAAGTTTTTTGTTTTTGTTTAAATATATTTTATTGATTTTTTACAGAGAGGAAGGGAGAGGGATAGAGAGTTAGAAACATCGATGAGAGAGAAACATCGATCAGCTGCCTCCTGCACACCCCCTACTGGGGATGTGCCCGCAACCCAGGTACATGCCCTTGACCGGAATCAAACCTGGGACCCTTCAGTCCACAAGCCGACGCTCTATCCACTGAGCCAAACCGGTCAGGGTTGTTAGAAAGTTTTAAAGGAATGCTATTCCCTCTCCTGCTTCTACTCTCTGTTCCTCTTTCCTTTTTCTATTTTGTACGTGCTTTGAACTTCACCTTTCAACTTCACCAAGCCAATGGCTAGAGAATATGGATCAGAGAATGTTTGAAAATGGAACACATCAATGACTGAGCCCTCTTGCTGCCCAGGTTGTTTAGTCTGAAGTTCAACTTGTTTAAAGAGCTTATACAAACTTTCATAATTAAAACCCTCCTTTTCTCTCCCTGCTCTCAAAAAGAAAAAAAAACACATACACAAAACTTGAAATTTCTGGCCCATTTGTTTCTCAGCTTGGTTTATTTGAAATGATGCAAAGTTTGTAGGAGAGTGAAGATCCACTCTCTCGTTTTGGATGGTTGAATTAGAAACCATTAAGATCCTGTTTAACCTTTGAGAGCCCATGATTCGAATGCAGACAGACAGCACTGTTCATTCCTAATGCATATTATTTGACTTCTACATGTGAAGGGGTGGAAAATGATACAGAAAAGTGTAGTATCTGACTTCATTGTTTTGTGTGTCTGAAATGAAAGGCCCACGGTCATACTATGGTAGAATTTCATATTGTATTTTCCCAATGAGAAGATCACTTTCTCATGTTAAGTAAATTATTCTAATAATACACGACACTTTAATATATTTTATCTCTTTAGAAGTTATTTTGTACCCAGATTACCTAGATTATTTACTTAAATTTTCTTATGTGGTCCCTCATCTGTATTAATCCGCCGTCTAGCTGAAATGAACTTTATCTTCCTCTTTCTCCTCCAACCCATTTCAGAATCACCTGTCTACCTTCAAGCAAGAACTCTAGCATCGGGGTTTCGGCTACACAAATTCACAAAAGAGGGTAAAATGTACCTGGTTCAGCCCCTGGGAGAAACCTCCTGCTATTTGTGTTAACAGTGTGCTGCTAAATTGCTTAGATTCAAGATTCATCCAAGTATAGGACTCAAACAGTACAGCCACACGGGAAGTCTTATGCTAAAACTGAGGCAAACTTCAGTCAAAAAGTTAGAATAATTAAAAGAACAAGTTGTGCATCATGGTATGCTGGTTATCAGCGGAAGGAGCAGACCATAAAATGAGTTAGTGCCGGGAGCCGGTCCATCCTTGCTGTTTCAAGGGACCTGGCATATATGGCATACTGTTCTTATATGTTTGCTCACCCTCTGGTGCTATGTGTTTAACCAAGTCACCTCTCTGAAAAGGTTGTTTCCCAGTGGGATTTTTCCCTGAGTAGGAGGGGAACAATCCTTAATTAAGTGCCAGGCGGGTAGTTAAGCTACATAATCTTTACTCCCTGGAATGGAGATAAGAAACGCCCTAACCTTTGTAATAGAAATTGACAGGATTAAAATTGGCTGGTATAAATACGGATGTAACAAGACAATAATCATCAGATCCTCATCACATCATCATCAGATCCTAACCAGAACCTAGCCAGAGAACATGGCAAAAGATCCTGGACAGAACCTGGCTACAGAACTTCACTGGAGAACCTAGACAGAACATGGCAAAAGAACCTGGATAGAACCTGGCTAAAGAACCTGGCTGGAGAACCTGGAGAACCTGGCTGGAGAACCTAGTGAGAGAACATGGCACCAGAACTTGGTTGGAGATCCTGACCAGAACTTCGCTGGAGATTCTGGAGGGAGAACCTCGCTATGCTGATGAACTGAACCCAGTTTCCATGTCATTCATTCTTCGCCGACTCTGTCCACACCTTTGGGGATCCCTGGACCCGTTGGGGTTGGACCCCAACAAGTTAGTATCATCCACTCAATAAAACATCTTATCAACAGAATTGTTCTACAAAAAAAAACAAAACAACACAAAAACAATAGTACTACAAGCTGTAAAGGAGTTGGGGTGTGAAAACTACTTGAGCAGAAAGTACGCACTTGGATTGTCCATGAATTGCTCTAACAATGCCTTTGCATGGCCTCCCTAATAACTCTTCTGGGATTATGTCAGTTACTTTAGTAATTTATGTTTGTAGTCTTGCCAAATGTTTGCTGTACAAGAGGGAAGAGATCGTACAGGCAGGGGCAGAAGTCAGAACAGAATGCTTTTGCTAAGAGCACCTCTAGATGGAAAAAACAAAAACAAAAAAAACCAAGGCCACTGAAAAACAGGTAAGGACACAAACTAGTATCTTCCCTAAGGAAGAAACACTAACAGATAATGTGTTTCATCTCATTTAATGATTTAAAAAATGCAAAAGGAGACGACAGTAAGATAATCCCTTCCCATCTGTCTGGCAGAGATGAAAAAAAAAAATACTACAGAGCACTGGTTCTCAACCTTCCTAATGCCACGACCCTTTAATACAGTTCCTCATGTTGTGGTGACCCCCAACCATAAAATTATTTTCGTTGCTACTTCATAACTGTAATGTTGCTACTGTTATGAATCGTAATGTAAATATCTGATATGCAGGATGTATTTTCATTGTTACAAATGGAACATAATTAAAGCATAGTGATTAATCACAAAAACAATATGTAATTATATACGTGTTTTCCGATGGTCTTAGGCGACCCCTGTGAAAGGGTCGTCCCACCCCCAAAGGGGTCACGACCCACAGGTTGAGAACCGCTGCTATAGAGGGTGACAGGGGTGTAGGGTATAGGAAAGATCCTCTGTCTATTGTTGGGGGAGGGTCAACTGGCACAAGTCCCTCCAGGACAATAAGGCAATCAAAAATCCTAAAAAGGCAGCAGCTCCTCTGACCTAGCTCTCCTACCTCCAGAAACTTATTGCAAGGAAATAATTGGAGAAGACTGTTCCCCAGAGCCTTGTTTATAATATTCCTCCTCCCTTTGTTTTCATTGTCACCTCTCTGTAGTTTCTATTTTTGAGGGGATCTCATTCTAAAATTAAAGAAACCTAGAAGCTAATCTTCCACTACAATTACCCTGCGTTCCTTGCTGGGGCAGCTGGGACCAGCAGTGCCGGGCCACACCGTTAAGGATGCCTTTGGGCACTTAAGAGCCTCCCAGCTCTTGTTGCCGCTTCTCTCCTGCTGCTGTGGCGGCTGCTGCTAAATTTCAAACCTTCCTCCGGGACCATTTTCATCATGAAGTGTTTGTAAAGTGCCTCAGGTGCTTCAAAGATTTTACTTTTTTCTTTTGTTGGTCCCACTGGTAAAACCCAGAAATGGCTGGAGAAAGTGCTCTATGTGTCCACCTTCCTGATTAGCAGGCTCCTTTGTTCTTTATTAAGAGTAAGCGCCTCCCCTACCCCCCAGTGTCTTATGTCCATTGGTTATGCGTATATGCATGCATACGATACCGGGGGAATGCCAAGGGGCGGGGGGAAGAAGGAGACATATGTAATACTCTTTGTAATACTTTAAACAATAAAAAAAAGAGTAAGCGCCAAAGTCCTGTTGCGTCAGGTAAAGGGGAAACTTCTAGAACTGCAGAGACAAGGGCACTTTAAAATGCCCGAGTGGGTACCCAGGTGGCAGGCGTTCAGATGGAACCGTCCCCCTTCCCCTGGCTTGGGGTAGGGATTAAAAGGTGGGAGATCAGGGGCTGATTGGCCATCTCACCGGAGACTCAGGTGTAGGTATGGCTCTTAGTATCTTAGCAACAGGTGCACAGACTCCGCCTCCTCACAGGCAGAGCCCCTTCCTGGGCACCCTCGAGGAGGACCCTGCCTTCTCAAAGGGGCTACTCTGCGTTTGCCCTAGTTCCTTAATAAATAGCCCACACTCACTAAGAACAAGCACTGCGTGTGAGCATCTAACTTGTGAGGGGAACGCAGGACTAGAGGGCCACCTATCATCCAGCGGGCGCCACCCGCAGGGCCGCTCCGGGCCAGTCCCAGAGGTTGGCCCTTGGAAACGCCAACGCTGCCTGGGCGGCATCTGCGC